TGTGTTAAAGTTTTGTGAGTGCGTGGCGGGGAATTTTAGAAGCCGCCAAAGGGGTGGGCCTAACCCCTCATTACACACACCAGCACCAGCCAAAGGGACCAACTAATGCGGCACATAATTCAAACCAAAAATGCCAGAGAAAATGGAGCTGGAAAGAAGAAATTGGTTGCTAGTTGCGGGTGGTCGGGGCGGTCAGGGCGGTCAGGGGTTAATGGTCAAGTGGACACCGAAAAAGCGGAAGTGGACAAACGGCGATTGCAGACGGAAGCCGTGATTCTAATTGCAATGTGAATGGGAATGTAGGAAGTAGTAGTAGTTTTTTTTCAAATTTTTTTTTAAATTTATTTTATTTCCTGCTGCTGGGCATATTATTTATGGAGAAACTTCTACAATAATTCCAACGATTTGCATAATTTTTAAATATTTTTTAAATAAATAGAAGAAATCGATAAAGGAAAGGAGTTCTTTAGGGGAAAATCTTACGATTTAGGAAGGAATCTTTAGCTGTCTGATAGAAGAGTTCTCTTATTCATAATTTTTTGAATAGATAATAATTGAATAGAATAGAATTATTTACCACAAGAAATCTATGTGCAATCAAAGTTTTTTAGGGGGAAAGCTTAGGGATATCATTTTACAAGAAATATGTATTTCACTATCTCACAGATTTTTCTTGTTCCACATTTTTTTTTCACTCTTGAAACTCTTTAGTTAATTTTATCAATATAAAATTAAAGTTATTTCAAAGGAAATCCTTGAGTAAATCCATCTAAAACACAACTATTTTAATTTTCCTCGCTCCTAGTCTCTTTATTTTTAATTTTTTTAATTTCTTAAATAAATTTATTTTATTTTTTAATAATAACCCCATGAAATCAATGAACTATCCGAGTTCCCTAGAGGTAAACCTTAAGGATATCCTTAGCCTGACAACCTCGTAGATTTTCCTCGATTCTATGGCCAAGTAACTGTATCTTTGAGCATTGATCTGGCTTCCAACCAACGTATTTCTTTCTTGGCCAACCGAAAATCGTGTGCCGGCTATAAATCAGGCAGGGACAGGGACATGGGGCTGGCTGGCTGGTTAAGGGGGAAAAGCGGGTCTGGTGGTTGCGGAAAAGCGACTGATTACGTGGTTCAAAATCAGGACCCGGCCAAAAACGAAACTAACGATTTTACGCTACATTTGCTGCTCGTAGGAAGTGGGTAGGAAGGGCGACGAAAGGGGGAAAGGACATTGTCTGACCATAACCCCAGGGCCATTGTTGTTGCCATTGTTATTGTTGTTGTTGTTGTTGTTGCTGGACATATTACATAGTTGAGTGCATTTATTTATTTGCTTGTATGTCAACCTGTTTGGCTCCCCTTTCGTTGGCTGCCCATTTCAATTTGTCCCAAGAAAAATAAGGGGGAAAAGGGGAAAAAGGCGGACCAACAAAAAAAAAAAAAGAAAATCAAGCTGGACAGGAAGCAGCACCCAAAACTGACCCCATTGATCCTGGCCAAGTTCCTGATTAACTTATTATGCTCATTTGATTGCTCGATTTAATTTGCCATTTCTTTGCCAGGACTCTTTCTTTTCATCTCATTCAATTTTTCTTTCTTATTCTTTTTTTTTGGGTTGAAATGTTTTTCCTTTTTTTGCTGAATTTTCTTTTGCTGAGTTTTCTGGGCCTTTTCATTGTTGTTTGCGGGTCTCTAAATTCATTTTGCATTGTCCGAGAAAATTTAATTTCCAAAATTAATTTTCATTTTTACATATATGAAATTGCCTGGGCTACTAACACTATTGTGTATGCTTTGATTTGATTTTAAAATTTTAATTTCATATTTCACATATACATTTATATAAATTTCGTTGCTTTTGCTGATTGCAAAAATTCTTTTGTCAATTTTTGCAGAAGGACATCTTTTGTCAATTGAAAAATGGAAAACAGAGCAGGGCTAAAAATTGATTGTTATTTTGTATTTCAAATTAAATTTTAAATATTTTAGATGTTTATTCTTAAATGAAGCTCCATGAAAATCTATTTATTTAACAATTTCTTTAAAGTTTATTTGATTGAATTAAAGGTTCCTCCTATAAATATTTATTTTTATATTTACATATATTTTAATATTTAATATTAAGACTTTGTTTCAATTTGGAGTCTGAATTTCAGGCGAAACGACGATCTCTAGTGTTTATAATTACCTACTATATATTACCCTTTAAACAATGGCAAGCACTCAACCGCTGTTGTTTTTCTGATATTTTTTGTTGTATTGGTTTTTTATGCATTGCGTAAATCAAATGCTGATTAAGTGCGATTTTTCGCGCATAAATTAAATCAGAATTATTGGGCGACAACAAGAAGCAGCGTTTGTCAGCGCCCACGCTCTGTGGTTTGGGCCATTGCGAATTGGTTACGGCCAGGCCAATTCGATGCAATTCGGACCAATTCGTTGCCATGGCAGCCGTAAGGACCGCAGGCCAGGACGAGGGAAGAGCAGAGTGCGAGGAGGGGGGCTTTATTATAGCCAGTAGTTGTAGCTGTATGCGTAAGCCGATTGATTTCATTGGTGTTGCCTACTTTCAGGCGAAGAAACAGCCATTATAATTTCATATTTTTAAATGGATTTTATTTCATTTTTAATTGAATATTATCTTTAATAATAAAATGTACCTTTTTGTTAAAATAAATTCCCAAAATAATATGCTAATTTATGTAGAATAACCTAGAAATAATATTAATTTCCCATATTAAATATTATATATATTTCAGTATATATAGTGTACCTACTGATCTAATCAATTTTTGTCACTAATGCTTATTATTTCCCATAGGCTTTATTTTGTTGGTCGGTTTTTGATTTTATTTTGCGTGATTTTCAATCGGTGGCGGTGCAACATGGCGTATGCTTATCAAATTAAAGAATTACCCGCCTCTACAATGGGCTCCTTCCTGCCCCTTTTTCCAATCCGGTGAGGCTTCCCCGATTTCCCGGAGCCTATGCGGTTGCAATAAATGATAATCGTGCCCGGGACCCCCCGCTTTTATGTGGAGGAGAGGCCTTGTCGCTTCCTTTTTGATGGTCGCTGCGGCTGCGTTGACCAAAAGTCGTAAATTCCGTTGTTGCCATTTGCCGCAGAAAAACAGCAGAGGGGGTGGGGAGCTGTGTGGGGGGTGGTTGGTGGCAGCAACAATGCAAACAATGCCACAAATGCACAAAATACCCTTCCCAACCGCCTGCCACCGGCGTCGTCGTCCTCGTCCACCGCTCAACGTTCGACATAATTAAAAGCGCGCGCCGTTTACGCAATTAATGAACTCTCGCCAAATTAGGCTGCGGCAGAGCGCAGACAAGCAAAATGGCCAGGACACAGGGACAGAGGCAGCAGCGGCAGTGGCAGGAGCCAAATGATAGAGGGAAAGGGGAGCGACAGGGAGTCGAGTCGAGTCCACTGAACGAAGCACAAAAACAAGCAGATAAAACGAAAGTTTATGTTAAAATTATTGAATTAAAGTTTAAATTAAACTTTAATTATCACAGAAATTTCTAGATTTTTATACGTTTAGGTAAAGTTAAGTTTTTAAAACGCTTTAAAATATGCTTAAAAATATGCTATGATATTTTTAGGTACAAAATTTGGTGTTTTTATTTTTATATTTTATAAATAAATTAAGTTTATAATGTCCTATTAACTGCACACTTGGAAAAGATAAATTATAATGATTTTTAAAATTTTTAAATTATTATTTTTTTTTAATTACAATTAATTTAATGAAATATGCAATTAATTTTATATAATTACTTACTTTTATTTGTTAAAAAATAAAATCCAATTAAATAGAATAAAATCCAGTACATTAAATAATAAAATTACTTCTGCTGTCAACTAATTTTCTCTCTGTGCACAAACGCACTCACACAAAGACACAGGGCTTGTGGTATTCGCGGTCGACGCGGGCGATGGCAATGGAGCTGCATAAACCGCGCCGCTTTTTGCCGCATTGCAGGAGGCGAACCTTTGTTGCACAAAATGTGAGGCGGCTGGCGGCAAAGGGTGCGCTTCCACGTTCCCAGTAAAAGCCAAAAGGGATCTCGGGGGCAGGGGCCACTGGAGTCTCCGTCCCAAACGACCAACCGGTAGCCGCATTAATGGCCGCCAGTAAAACATCACCTAAGCCTTGTCACCACTTCTCCTGCCACACATACAAAGACATTCCCCAGGAGAAAACGTTTAAATTATAAATTGCTTTGATTTAAAATATTTTTAGCAAATTCCTTTCTTCTTCATAATGAATTTGGAAAGTGCTAACCCATTTAGCGGTTTTCCCTCTACTGTTGCTCTTTTTCAAGTGATTAGCCTACATTTTTATGGTAGAGTATATAGATTAAAGGATCCTCCCCCAAAGATCTGACGCCTTGTCGCTGGATGAGTCCTGCGGCCGACTCTGACAATACCCAAAAAGCTACCCAAAAGCGAACAAAATACGACCACGACAAGGACTATGTGTGGAGAGGAGTGGAGGCGTCGTCTGACTCTTGACCGCGGGCGCAATTTTTCGTTGACCAAAATGCAGGGCAACAACAAAACGTGACAAAAAACGTGACCCAAAGTTTTTTCGGGGTTACGTTACGCAAAAAAAGGAGAAAAATTAGGAAACTGCGGTCTTTTGTGGCGGCTTTTGTGTCTGCTAACAAATTTCAATAAATTACAGTTCATTTGCCAAAGTCAGGCGGCTGCCTGAAGGACTCCCACCCCAATTTACCCAATATTTTCTTATTTCCCTTATCATTCAAATATAATAAAATAGTTATTGCAGAGTTCCACTTTCCCTCTTTTTTAAGAGATTCAATTAATAACTAGTATAACCCGCTTCCAATAATTAAAAACAATAGTTATGTTTGTCTTCCTTTACCAATCACTGGTTCAATTATTTTTATTTTATTCATATTTTCCATTGTTGTTTCAACCAAACAGAAAAAACACAGAGAAAAGGTAAACTAAAATGTCATACTTCAATTCCATTTAATATTTCATCTTCTCACTTTTCATACTTACAATTAGGCGAAAAAAAAAATGTATCACTATATTTATATTGTTGTTTTCTGCTTATGTTGTTTACTTCAAATGTACATCAGTTTTACATTACGTTTATGAAGTGAAGAAAAAAAAAGAGCTAGAGCGGTGGGGGAGGAACAAAACCAAGGGAATCGCGGAACATAAAAGTTAATAAATAAGAGAGAAAGAAAAAAAAGAGCATAATAATATGTAAATATGCATAATTGAAATGCCGGGCAATAAAACAAAACGATTCACTCGTTTCAATTGTTTAAATTTCCTTTTTCTCGGCGGGCGTTTGAGTTTGCGTCGCCGTCGCAGTGGAAGTTGTCGGCGAGAGTTTGGAGCCACTCGACAGATCCAAATCACTGGCGCTGTTCTGTAATGAAGCGAAAGCAGAGACCAGAAAAAAAAATATATAAATAGGTGGGTAATATCTCAGGTACATTATGATGGCTAAATCGACTTGCCTGGTGATGCTAATTTAGAACAAATCTTAATAATTATTAAAAAGTTAGTTCCTAATTTATTCGAAAGCTAAAACCATAATTTTTCTTTTTTTAATTAAAATCTCCAGAGTTTCAGATGCAAATGACCGTTATAAGATTTTAAAGAATTACGCTTAGAAAGCTGCTTGATGACCAACTCCTTGAATTTTGAAACAAATGTATAATACACAGAATTTAAATGTAATTTAAAACGATATTTAAACAAAGTTAAGGCTAGGCTCAAGTATTCTTTCTATATTCCTCAATGGCCAGCGTAACTAGTCTGTTGACTGCGATCTGTGACAATGATGACATGATGCGAACTCCATTTCCAATCAATCCATTCTTCATGAGACGCAGCTGCATAATACTCCACTCCCCGCCTGCCTGTATCCTTACCTTCATCTCTTGGCGAAGCTTCATCGACTTGCCCATGCTCTGCAGGCGGTAGCGCTCCTTGGCCCTCTCCCGTATCTTTTCCGGCACCACCCACAGCGTGGTGGCCATATTGCCAACGAACAGCAACAGGAACAGGCCGGCCATTACGGACACATGCCAGGGCGCCTCCGGGCTATTGGCCAGCTTGTAGAGTGTCCAGGCATTGTACGCCTGGAATCCATAGCCAATGAAAAGGAAGGGCAGCAGGAAGCTCAGACCGCGCCACATCCACGAGTGGAAACCCTCGATGGTGATGTCCATGTTGTGACGCTCCCCGAGGGCCTTAAGCCGGTAGAGCAGGCCTTTCTGGTAGCCGAATTGCAGGTATTGGACGATGCCTGCCAAGTGGTAGATGGAAATGGTAGATGAAAATCGGAATGCAACATTATTTCAATTTTTCTGACTAGAAAACATGTAATGAATGAAGAATACAACGGATCAACTCACTGATGTAGACATTGAAGTACATAAACTGCATTCGAAAGATCTGCCAATGCTCGCCCTGGGGCCAAACCAGTAGGACGCCGGCGGCTACCGTTGAGATGAAGTGGTGGGCCCGCCACCAGCCCTTGATCCTGGAGCCGTTCACCTTTAGGATGGACTCGCGGATCGTTAGGGTACAGTAGTACCATACCAGCAGGAATATGAAGGCCAGCTCCAGGGCTCTAAGTGCAAAGAAAATAAGCAAAATAAAAAGAAAAAATAAAAAACGGAAAATGGGGAAAAATGGAGAACGGACTTTGGGCCCCCCACTCACCTGTAGTTGAATATCAAATTGAAGAAGGCCATTATCAGTCCAATTACGTTGAGTATTAATTTAAACTTTTCATAGTCATCTTTATAGCGAACTTTGTCGTTTCTGTTGAGAATCGAGACATTCACATCGCCCAAGATAATCTGCAAAGGGAGACAAGGGAAGAGAAGGAGAGATAGAGAGAGGGGAAAGAGAGTGGAGAGGTCACAAGTGGAATTCAGTGGGCGGACCAGGTCAACTCGGAGTCCAGTCGAGTCAACTTCAAGTCTCAAGTCCATAACAAGACGCGCAAATTGTCGCGCAGGAAAGAACTTTTTACTTTACTTATTTCCAGTTTCCACTTGGCCAAAAGTTTTCATTTTTTTTAAGAGCAGGAAAAGGAGCAGGAGCAGGAGGAGGATAGCCTGTGAAAAACTGAACTCACCTGCAAGTAGCGGCCGGATTTTGCTGGCAAGGATTGCTCAATCTCGTGCAGTTGAGCCTTTCGCTTCAAGGTCATCTTTTGCAGTTCATCGACCTTTTCCCTGTCCTCTGCCGGAATGGGACCCTTGGATCTGGAATAGTTAGTAAATAAATACTTGAATAATTTCCTCAAAATAAGGCTTAATACTATGGAAATTGAAATTTCTGTAATTATATTTCAATTTGAATTAACTTTGTTTACAGTTTTCTGACCTTTGTACAAATAGTTTTAAAGAAAATATAAAAAATACCACCTCCTAAATCATTATAGAACTCCTATGAAATAGATTAGATAATACAAGATCCAAACTACCGGTATCCCTATCAGTGGACACATATTTTCTCAATCAGTTTACCAAGAATATAATGACATTTAGACTTTGTTCTATATAATGTTTATTGTTTTATTGATTGGGGTGCTTGTTCTTACTTTTGCAACAATTTTTTTATGTAATTTATTCCCATGTAATTATTTGTTTATTGACCGAGAAAACCTAATAGGAAACCCACTAGCTGGAAGACCAATTTTCAGCGTCAAAGTTCAATTTAGATGTACATAATTTATGGCCAAAGTGGGCGGGGTTTATGGGGCGTATATATATGTAGACGAATATGTGGTCAATTAACGGTCGCCATAAACGATGGGTTCCACTACATCTATATGGCGCTTCATAAGGTAGATTTATAATGGCACGACGGTCATTTATCAGGTCGCTGGTACATTTCATGTTTTATTTTTAAACACCCTCTAATACCCCTTTGAAAACCGACAGTAAGATAAGGTCGGGGCCCCAAAAACCAAACCGAATCGAACAAAAATCGAGCCACAGCGATACGGCATACATATGTATGTATTACCAAAGGCAATCCGACAAAGTGGTCCGATTATAATAGTTTCCGCTCGATTTGCCTATAAGAATATGGGATGATGACTGGACAATCTTTTCGAGATTATGTCCCCTAAGATAATGGGAAATTTCCGTGGCATTAAAAGTTTAAGTACCAAAATTTTAATAGTACGATTAAGATTGTGATTTTGGGAATTTAATTTAATTTTATATAATTTAAAAACAGTTGCTAGTAATTATATGCTTAATAGTAAAAAAAAAAACAAATTTTCAACCAAATTGTAAGTAGTTGCTTAATCTTTTTGTTAAATATTCAAGGTAAACCCTAAAACTTACAACTTTTACTACTTAAAAGTGCCCTTGTGAACCATGTGTACTATAATATCTGTCCCCTACCGACAACACTGTAATTACGATTACCTGAAATATATAGACAGTAATATCCATACAAAATCGCGCTTACCCAACTCTATTTGATCATTAGCGGGGGACAACAAAAAAATACATATTTGAGTGACCAGTGAAGCTTTTCAACTGAAAACGATGATGCTAAAATGCATTTGGTTGGTTGACACACTCGGACAATTTTTTCGGCAAATACAAACAGTTCAAGGCACACGCATTTCCGCAGATTGCACTTAGAAAAATACTATTAATAATATTTGAAGTAATTATATTAAATATATAATTAAGATCGCTAGTAAAGTAACTTGATTTTAAGAAAATATATGTATTAAGGAGACAGAAAATAGCAATTTTGGTTAAAATTTTAATGTCAATTTTAATTAAGTAAAGCTGTGAAATAATATAAATATTAAAATAAAAATTTTGTAAGAAAATAAAATTAATAAATAAAATAATAATAAATAAATATATTAAAATAAATAAAAAGCTCTCAAAATATGGTATTTTTAGGGTTTAATAATTTTTTGAGAGTATTTCAACCTTGAATATAATTAAAAATTGTTTTTTTCTTGCCAAGTGTACGGAAGCAACAGTAGCAAACAGGTAGTAACTACCGAGCACTTGCAAAGTCTCAATTAAAATTCATTTGACTCTGCTAAAAAGACAACAAAGAATACAACAAGCAAACAAACACAAAAATAACAAATCCAACAGGTTTTTCTGAGCATCTCGCGGGGTCAGCGATAACAAAATGGAAATCGCTTGATTTAAGCTATTACTCTGCGGATTGCATAATTTAGGAATATATGTATAAATGTATACGACTGACTAAAGGTCATGTAGTTCATCAAACGCTTGCAACGTGACGACAGCAAACACGCGACCGTTAAATAAACAACAAAAATTGAGACAATAAACTCGCGAGCTAAATCATTTTTATATAAATAATAAACAAACAAACAAACAAGCGAATAGGCGCCTAATAAAAGTGTCAAGAATCAGATGTTTCATCATCATCGGCATGCACAATGTATTGAGTATTTATTTATATAGCCCACATCCGAACCGAGATGAGTGAGGGTTTAAAAAACCTCGCAGAAAGCAAACAAAAAACAAAACAAACACAACTAAAAAATAAAAACAAAAATAAATAAAAATAATGCAAAGCTCAAATCTGAAGAGCAAGCACAATGGGTCAAAGTTGAGAGGCAAATATATATTTATATATTTATTTATAAATTCATCAGCTGTTAAATCAGCTGTTTAAGAAGATTTGACAAGATCATAATTTTGCCTTTTTAATTTTTTTTCTCTAATAAAAGAATCTTTTTTTGTGTTACAAAATATTATCCAGTACTTATATAGCATTTAAAGTAGCTAAAAATATCCAGTTTGTATTTTATTAAATTACTTTATTATTGTTAAGCATACATTTACGAAATTGTATGTACAATTAATTATAAATTATTCACCAACAAATTAAAATCTATGTGAAAATATGTAACTTTTAAACAAATAAATAATATCTCAATAAAAAAGAGTAAATAAAGCTCATTTTACTAAATTAGATTTTATGTCTAACTTTGCCCCACTGTGCACATACAATTGTATTATTGTATTTGCCTGGATTGCGTGTTGCCCTCTGTGACTGTGACTGGATCTGTGTCGGTGTCTGGGCCTGTGATTGCCGCTTACCGGTAAGTGTGCGAGTGTGTGCACCTGTGTGTAATTATGGCAGAGGGTCAAGGACAGCCGGTAAGCTGGTGGTCAGCTGTTTGGTTTTTAAAAGAATTCATATTTCATTCCAAAATACTTTTAACCCTTGAGGTTAACAATTAAAAATCTATGCTAAATATACATAAATAGAAAAATTGCTAAGAAGTAAAGAGTATTTGGCATTCAAGCTCGAAAGGGGAATGAATAAATTTGACCCGGCTCGCTCACATAGCGTTTAATTTTCAGTGGGCTATAAAAAGTCAGTAGTTTTTTTTATACATTTTTGTTTTTCACGAGCGTATCGCCCGAATAGGTATTTTTTTTTTAATGAGTGGCGGCCAATAAAACCCAGAACCCGGAGAGTAGTACACCTGGAAAAATATATAAGCGGAGAACAAAGTCTGGGGGCTTTGAGTTTATCAAAAGTTTTATCATCGCCCAATGAAAACAGTTGTAAAAACACTAAAACACCGTTGTTCCCAACCGATCCAGCCTGTTCTGCTTTGGACTCCTGATAAGGACTGATTACCGCCTGACTAATTGCCACAAGCAAGACTTGTGTTACCCCCGTCTCCCTCCCGCTTATCAAAGCAAGTGCTCGAGTGCTGAAATGCGTGTGTTTGTCCGATTAGACTGCTCTAATTGATTGAAGTCAAATTCCAAAGGCGCACATACAGACAATTCGATTGGCGAGGGAAAAATGCCCCCGATTTCCAAGGTGTTGTTTGCGATATACAGTTGAATATGCCGCTGTGCAAAGATCGCTTTAATAATAATAAAGCAATATTCCTATAGCTACCATTGGAAATTCGAGAAATTCAAGAATAACCCTGAAAGGGGTGCGACGATCGCTTATGCAATTCTCAAGATTCTGAAAAATTCGGGGTTGGTGACCCTTCTTCTGGTACTCACTGTCGCAGAGATGCCGTTATCTGGTTCATGCGATACCGCTGATGCTTGATCTCGTTGAAGCATATTTGTTGGTGGCTGTGCAGCTGTTCCAGCAGCTCGATGTACCGCCTGTTGCAGCTCTGAAAGCGAAATCAAATATATACAATAATGCCTGAGGGGTGGGAATTTTAATTTGGGTAAATAAAAGCCAGTCGGAAAGCACTTAGGCACTATAAGGACAGGGCTTAGATTCAGGGCGTTTCATCTCAGGTTTGCCATGGTGGTTACTAGAATACTCTTAAGTACATTTATATTTCGAGAGTTTGTTAAAAGTCTAAACGAAGTACAAAGTTTAATACATTTTATTTAATATTAACTATAACAATTTGTTATCTTTATTTTTTTCCCGCAAGTAAGTTTACTAAAATATTCCGTGCAAGGCATTGAGTTTAGTTAGGGATCTGATGATCTTTAGGAATATTTTTGTTGATTTTTTTGACAGAATATATATTCAAATAATTATTTTCCTATAAACTTTAGCAATGTTATTTGTTAAAGAAACATTTCTTTATTTTTTAAATATATAAAAAATTATAAAATCATGTAAGAATAGTAATACAACTGATTAAAATATTTAAGAATTGTGATACAGAAAATATACAAAATTTACAGTATTAATTAAAAGGAAAGGGTATTCGGCGTACGCCTTATTCAGACTCAAAAATTGCTGGCGAATTTTGAGCAGCTGTTTTTTTTCTCTTTCAAGGTGAAAGCGACATAAATATATATGTACATACCTATATGCATGGATATTTATGTACGTATTTGAGTGTGTTTACGCTTATTTTTGGTGACTTTGGCTTTGTTTTGGACTTTCTTATAGTTTTTCAATATCACACTCACCTCCAATTCGGCATACTCCTTGTTGAGCTCCTCCCATTCATTTTTCAGCGAATCGATATTCATTATTATTGTTTATAGCGGCTTTTCCTGCCGTCCACGCTTTTTGAATCGCCTTTTCCCCGATGTACTTTGTTCAACTTTTTCCGTTTAATTTATTTAATTTTACGTTGTTTTTGTTGTTGTATGCAACAGCTGGCAAAGAAGAAGAGAAGGAGGGGAGACTTTGAGGTTAGGAAAGCGACCGGTGAAAAATCAATTCAATTGTAGTAAGTGCGCGAATTTGTTATTGTCAATTTCCCAACTTCAGTTACACACAGCCACACACACACGCACACCCGCACAACAGATATTTCTCTATCGCAGCCACACACACACACACGTTGCCACGTTCAACGCAAAACATTAACAAAAAAAAGAACAACGCTTTAAATAACAACAACCGTAATTTGGTTTTGCACTTGGAAAATTGACGAGCAAAAGCAAGCAAAAAAACAAAAGGAAAACCTTAATTATTGCCGCGCGTTTTGTTGTTCGTTAAATTGTGTTTTTTGTTTGCTTTCGGCTTCTCTTAAATTCTTTAAAAATACATTTATCCCGCTGGTTGAGCAACGTTTGTTCGTTCTTTTCGTTCCGTTTCGTATTTTCTTGAGCAAAATGCAAAAAGCAGGGGGCGGAAAGGTGGTGAGGAGGGGAGAGACGTGGCGACGAGAGAACAACCGACGACTGCTGCCGACGACTAATATTTTGTTATTAACTATTTCCGTTGCACTTTTGTTTTAAATACTTTGGCACAAACGCACAAAATACAACACAAAAAACCGAAAACAACAAAAAACAACACACACGCGCTCTCTCTCTCTCTCTCAGAAGCGGCAAACGGCGAGCCAAAAGCCAACGACAAACGCAAAGAGAGAGCGGCAGAGAGCAGCGTTTGCGAACTAGTTCCATCTGGTTCACATATTAAAACTAAGTTTAATTTAACTACATATACAAATTTGAATTAAATATTTATTTTTGCTGATTTAATAAATAATAAAGCAATATTTTTACTAATAATATTTAGCGTAGAATTAATTTAGAACTCACCTCTAACAAAACAATAAACATATATATTTACCGCTTTGAACTGGATCGTTCGGAACCAAACTGCTCAGCGCAATCACCTGAGCAGAATCGAGAGCGTGCTTTTTTTTTGTTTTTGTAAAAAAGAGAACGAACTAAGAAATGGTGAGTTTTCGCAGAGAGGTGAATTCCTTTGGTGTGTGTGTGGTGTGTTCGCAAAGAGCGCCAAGTTGAAAATTAAGTTCAAATATTTTTTTTTTTTGTTATAGAAAAATATATACACACGTCGTCTAGTTTGAAATAAGTTGCTTTTGATTTTGACACAGAAATATTGAGTGTGTTGATACAACTCTAATTCCCTATATGGGAAAATATATAACAAATCATGTCGCAATTAATTGACAAAATGGCATTATATTTGATTTTGTGTGGGGGTAAACAATAAACACAATAGTAATTATGGTATTAAAAAAAAACACATTAACTATGATGCTGGTGCGGCGCCTACTCCTACTCCTTGCGCCTGGCCCGGAGCCTCAGGGCCAGATAGGCGAATCCCCGGAAGCCCACAATGAGAATGGCCAGACCCACATAGTCCAGCGGCAGATCGGCGGCCGAGAAGTTGAGGGTCTCCAGGATGACCTTGCCGGAACTGGGACACGTGGTGTTCGAGGAGGTGCAACTGATCTCCCCCGGCTCAACGTCCGCCCACTGGTTGATCAGGAGGCCCTCGTTGGCATACCGGAACCAGGACAGATACGACAGCCACTTGAGGTAGACCGGGACCGAGCCCGAGTTCAGGAAGAAGCCGCCGAACAGCAGGAAGGGTATAATCACCGGCGGACCCACCGACAAGGCCATCGAGGTCGAGGAGCTGGCGCAGGATATCAAGTAGCCAAAGGAGGTGGACACGTTCGCCACCAGGGTCACCAGGGCCAGGCAGTTGAAGAAGTGCAGCACACCGGCCCGTAAGCCGATCATTGGATAAGCGATGGCCGTAAAAACCAGCGGTACGGTGAGGAAAAGCGGCAGTTCGGCGATGGTTTTGCCCAGGAAGTACGTGTCGCAGCGGTAGAGGCGACTTCGGGCCTCTCGCATGAACACAGGCAGTTCGGAGGTGAACACCTGTTAATTGAGGTAAATAATATATTAACAATATGTTTATACAGGTATTCATCATTCAATTACTCACATTAATCGTGGCAAAAACATTCTGGAAGGTCATGTTGGTCAGGAAAAGGAAAATGGCTCCATTGATATTCATCACGCCCACTTGCGTCAGTTGTTGGCCCAAAAAGATCAAGCCAATCAAGATGGCCACCATCTGCAAGGATAATTTATAACTTAGACCCCTTGGCATATTTATCAGGTATTTTATTAGCTTAACGTCATTCGATACATTAAAAATCATAAAATTAAGCGAAAAACTAATAAACTAAAATTAAAGAAGTTCAATTAGATGATGGATATTTGCTTATAATTTAAGCTTTTAAATTTAATTCTAAATATTTATTTCTTAATATTTTTATCATTTTAAAAGCGGAAATAAATCTTCAAATAAATTTTAAGGAATTGTATTTTCCTTTTCAAGAGCATCTAATATTCCTCATATCCCTCCCCGCCGCCGCCACTCACCGTTGTCTGGATGAGCCGCACTTTGACGAGCAGCGGCTCCTTGAGCACCGACAGCCAGGATCGCCACAGGACGGCACGGAACTGCATAAACCAGGTGGCCTTGTAGGTGAAGCCGTTCTCTGGCTGCTCCAGCGGCTGCTGAAGGCTCTTGGTGGCCAGAAGCTGCTCCATGTCCCGGGCCACCTTGCTGATGGCAAAGTTATCGCAGATTTTGGCAATTCTCTCCCGGGATTCGATCTCCCGGCCGGGAACCACGGCCAAAACCTGAACGTAAAAGTCTGCCGGATTGTAGTTCGTGGGACACTGAGCTCCGACGCTGAAAAAATAAATATTTTAATATTATTTACAAGAATTTAAAGGGTCCTGAAGGACTACTTACTAGGAGAAAAAGTCCACGGCCTCGCTAGGCGTTCCCAAGAAGGCCACCCTGCCCTCGGCCATCAGGAGAATCTTATCGAAGAGCTCAAACAGCTCGGAGGAGGGCTGGTGAATGGTCAGGATGACGGTTTTACCCTTCTGCGACAGCTTCTTCAGCACCTGGACCACGCTGTGGGCAGTGAAGGAATCCAGTCCGGAGGTGGGCTCATCGCAGATTAGCAACGGCGGATCGGTGAGGGCCTCCGAGGCGAAGGCCAGGCGTTTTCTCTCGCCACCGGACAAGCCCTTGACCCTCCCCGGCACCCCAATGATCGTGTGCTGGCACTTGCTCAGCGATAGCTCCTGGATCACCTGATCCACGCGGGCCACACGTTGCTTATAGCTGAGATGCCTGGGCATCCGGACCATGGCCTGAAAGATCAGGTGCTCTCGGGCAGTGAGCGAGCCAATGAATAAATCGTCCTGCTGGACATAGGCGCACCTCGCCTGCATTTCCTTAGCATCCACCGGCTGGCCATTGAGGAGTCGCATTCCCGAGGGCGAGACCTGAATACCCTGCGGCGATCGAAAGGCCAAAGCATTGAGAAGCGTGGTCTTTCCGGCTCCAGAACTGCCCATCACGGCCAGCAATTCACCGGGATAGGCCACTCCGCAAACTGAAATCGAAGAGGAAGAAGGAGTCGGGAATGGGGGAATATATATAGGGATTTATCTGTTATGTAAACATAAAGTTTACACATCTAATTAAGCTCACCGTTCTTCAGCAGATGCTTCCTGGGCGCCGGGATGTGTCGTTCGTTGCAGAAGAGGCCTCGCGTCCGGTTGACCAGCTGCCGCCAGCCGGAACCCGGCTGGTTGACAGCCCCAAAAATGTCCAGGTTATGCCAGGCATAGGTGAGATTCTCTGCCAGCTGGCCATTGGTAGATCCGGATCCAGGGCCATCCGGTGGACTGGGTGGGCGCAGAGTGCCATAGTTCTTTGCCTGCCCATAGCCCTGGCCAATGCAGCTTTGCGAAGCCCCACCGCCTTCACCCTGAGGAGGAGATTTGGAATAAATAAAATTCAATAAACGTAGAATGGTTACACTTAAAAAAAAAATCAAATGTCAAAGGAAATTGTTAGAAATGTTTGAAATGTGTTAGACTTTGAAATATTTCTTTGTTGTTTTTCCTTTTAATAATTCTTAATTTAAATATTTTATTATTTATTTAAATTCCCTAAAAACTTTTTATTTGCAGTGTTTCCTAAAAAGGTTGCGAAGAGAAAAGTTTTTAATTTCACGGCGTTCGTCCATAAAAATGAAGGCGTTTGTGCATAAATCTTGGCGAGCCTGGCTAATCCCTGCGCCTGCTTCTATCCCCAATCCCTTACCCACTTTCCCACCCGCCGTGTCCCTTTTTCTCGGCGGCTACCCATCTGTTTAATAAAAATGCCCAAAGTCCCGGAGTAGGCGAGGCCTATTTAAAATGTGCAAATTAGGGCAGGCCATAAGCCGCAGCCGGCTGGCGGCCTTGAGGAGGAGTCGGAGTCCAGGCAGGATGTCCTTCTGGGCTCACCATGTTGCCACTTCATAAGACAATTGCGAGTGTAAATCGCCGGCATCTTCGGCTTTTGTTTTTGGTGGGCTTTGAGCCAACCATCAGCTTTGTTTTTATTAAATATAAAACTTTAAGGACACTTGGCCATATAAATGAGCCGGAATCCTTATGAATGAGTTGAGCAAAGTGCGTATTTTGGGGCCCTTTCGAGTAGTTTGCCATCAGTGCAATGAATATTTACTAGCGGAAAGTGGCACAATTCACTCAATTTACGACTGGGATTTGTGTTTGGAGTGTATTTTCTAGGCTTACGATATTTATCGATGTTTTCTTACAACTTGGGAAATTGTAAAATTGCTTGCTTTTTATGTGTTATTCCTTTTCATATTGCTATATTTGGGATTACTTAATAGTAAATGTTAGCAAGCTTGTTTTTTTAAAAGGTTCTTAAACAATGTCGACACAATATCGATATTTTCGATAAACAAAGATAACAGCTACTCTGACAGCGCCACTCCATCTTTAATCACAAGTTAATCGCTAAAAGTCAGCTCAAGCCAAAGTCGATGGCGGATTAGGAGGCCCCACCCCCCAAGGGGAGGGAGTGATGGCGGCGATTGCCAAACCCACTTCGTCGGCCCGCCAGCTTTCCGCCCAGGTGGGGCTTCCCTTTCATAAAGCCGGTAACCGAAGACGCTTGCGGTAGGGTCCACTTACCCACTCCCCCGCAGATATTTTCATTTTCATTTTCATAAACAATTTTCTGTTTTCCATTTGTGGGGTTTCCTACCATCGCATCGGCCTGCGGCCAAAGCATAAATAACAGGGATCCACTAATTGGCGTCCAGGCAAAATATACACTCCGTTTCACTTGAATAGCACACAAAAATTTTCATAATTACTTGTTCATCTCTCAGCAACTGCTTGATCTAATGCAATAATTGTTGCTGTTTTATTTTCGTCATATTATATACTCGCTTCCAACAAAAAATGGAAGTCTGAAAATGTACCGTTTAAATGTACTGTAATTTTCTTTTCAAATTGCTTCAATAACTTGCACCTTTTTTGTTTCACTTGAATAGCACATTTTAGATTACGTGTCATTTCAGCAGCCAAGGAGATTGAATCAAAAACTTTTTTTGATTAATTAATGAATGTTAAACATAGTTTAATCATTTTGTACAATTATGGGTCTTGGAACGTCACTAAGTCACAAAGAACAGATCCAAATACAAAGCTATATTGATTGTGACCTTTCTGTAGCTAATATAGCGAAAAAAAATTGGAAGAAGCAGAAAAGTCGTATATAATTTTATATAGAACAAACAAAACTATGGAAAAAATATGAAAGGTCGCAAAAGTTGTGTTCTTTGCGACACAGATAAGCGTGCGATTCTGCGGGAAGCCTCAAATTCCCATGACTCTGTGAGCAAAATAAGGGAAAAGCAGGTGTTGACGCGAGCAAAACTACTGTTTGGCGAGTTATTTCGAAAGCTAAACATCTAAAACGTTTGAAACTTAAAAAAAAACCACCGCTTAACCCCAAACGAAAGGAAGCACGGTTGACCTTTTGCCGCGTCAATATGTCATGGTGTAACGAGCGGGAGCGCGTAGTGTTTTCTGATGAAAAAAGTTCAATTTGGAGGGGCCAGATGGCTGCAATTATTATTTTCATGATCTGAGGAAAGAGACGCATCAATTGGAGCGTTTACATAGTCGAGTAGGCGGAGTTATGGTTTGGGGAGCCATATCTTACTATGGGACTTGTGAGCTCCAATTCTTATCCTCAAACATGAACGCAAAAGCGTATCTAAACTTCCTTGAAAATTCTTTTCCACCATTGGAAAATTTTTTCAATAAATTGCCTTGGACATTCCAGCACGAAAATGCGCCAATACATATTGCAGGTGTTGTAAAATCTTTTTTAAAATATAAAAATGTTGAAACTCTGAACTGGCCACCATACTCGCCGGATCTGAATATAATTGAAAATGTTTGGGGATGGCTGGCCAGAAAGGTTTATGGGTCTGGCAAGCAATTTTCAACAAAAGAAGAACTAATTGACGCCATTCAGAGGGCCTGGGCTAAAATATCCTTAGACTACATTAAAAGTCTATATGTTTCGATGCCCAACAGGATCTACCAGGTTTTATTGAATAAAGGAGGCTCAACCCATTACTAAATTAACAAATATATATGTATTAATAATCACTATTGAATAAAAACACATTTCCTAATATTTAAGTTCGTTAAATATACTTTAAAACAAAAATGTGCTATTCATGTGAAACAAAATTGTTGTGCAATTTTTTAAGTTTTTATGTTTTTTTTGTTAACATTTATTAATTGTTAATTTAATTTAAGTTTTGTTACTTTTTTTATATTTAAAATTGATTACACTATAAATAGAAACCTAAACATCAGCGAGTTTTCTTTTTGGTTAAAAGATTTTAAGATTTGAAATTGCATAAAAAAGTGTGCTATTCAAGCGAAACGCAGTGTATATAACAAAAAAAAAAAAAAACTTACAAAAAATGAAAGGAGAAATATGTACAAAAAAAAGAAGACAAAATTATGGCCACAATATGGAAAACATTTTATCCGCCGCGCTGCTCTCATAATAATTTGTATAAATAATCATAAAAAATTAAGCAAAAAATGCTAGCAGTGAGGAAAGCAAAATCCGTAGCAGGAGAGCCAAATAAAAAAAAAGCTGACATTCAATAAGAGCCAGGAGAAAATATTAAGAAATAATGTCCACCTAGTACTCAGCGCCTTTGGCTTGTAGCTACAGTAAACTCTGGAGTTAGAGGAAATATTTCTTATGCTTCAAAATTTATGCAGAAATTTTAAATATTGATTTGGATAATTATAATAAAATATATAATAATAATAGATATATATTTTGAAAGTTTTATAGTAAATATTTAATAAATTAACAACTGAATTAATACAAGTAATATTTATCTTTTTGAATTTATAATTTGTTTACATTTATTTTGGAGCTAAATGGTATAAGAAAAATAACCTGGCTAATTTTTATATATTTTTTTCTATTTATAATAAATTTATTTAAAATTTTTTATTTTATTTCAAACCCTGTTCTTTAAAACCTATTCTCCACTGTACTTATGCTGCGCTGCTTTTGCCACTGATTCTTCTAGAATCTCCTGTCCAGTTTTTGGGCTGACTTTTGCTTACAAAAAAAATATAAATAATAATAAAAACAAGAAAGGAAGCTAACTTCGGCACGCCGAAGTTTGTATACCCTTGCAGATATTATTTCATTACATTTTACCTATACTTATTATGTTGAGAGTTTGACAGTTACAGTTTTACATTCCCAGTTTTACATTTTCCCTACACCTACCGATCGGTTTATATGGCAGCTATATGATATAGTTGTCCGATTTTTATGAAATTTATACCAAAATTCTAGAACAATAAAAAAAGCCTATATCTCAGAGTAGATACAAATACGTTGAAAAACAACGAAGCTATAATTTTTTTCCTATTAATTTCCCGATCGTTCGTATGGCAGCTATATCATATAGTCGTCCGATTTTCATAAAATTTTTACCAAAATTTAGAAATAATATAAAATGGCCATATCTAAAAAATGGTGCAAAAATATTGAAAAACAGCAAAGTTATAATTTTTTTCTACAAATTTATCGGACATTTGTATGGCAGCTATATGATATAGTCGTCCGATCCGGCCCGTTCCGACATATATAGCAGTGAGAGTATATAGAAGACTATATGCAAAGTTTCATTCAGATAGCTTTTAAACTGAGGGACTAGTTTGCGTAGAAACGGACAGGTGGACAGACGGACAGACGGACAGACGGACAGACGGACAGACGGACAGACGGACATGGCTAGATCGACTCGGCTGTTGATGCTGATCAAAAATATATATACTTTTTAGGGTCGGAAACGTCTACTTCACTGCGTTGCAAACTTCTGACTGAAATTATAATACCCTGCAAGGGTATAAAAATCGGTTGACGTCGCGAGGTGGACGCGAAAAAATGTAATATCCGTTACGGGCTCAGAAAGAGAAAGAGAAAGAGAGAGATAGAGAAAGAGAAAGGGAGAAAGAGGGAAACAGCTGGGTGCAAAAGAGATGGACGGCAACGCCAAGACTCAGACCTGGCAAAAAATTGTTTTCACAACAAATGAGGCCGAAAAATGTTATTAAAAAGTTTCCTTCTCCCAATCCGCCGCCCCCACCGCCCCACCGCCCCACCCACTGCCTCCTCCTCCTCCTCTGTTGGGTTCTTATCTCCGTCTTCGGTTTATTCTCTTACTTTTTCCCCCCCTTGTATTCCTTGTTGCCAAAGATGCTACATTTCATATTTATTTAATTTTTTTCGCTTACTTCTTACTTTGCGTGCTATTTTTGAATTACTTATGAAGGAATTCTGGATGCTGGAGCGAAAGAGATGGGGCGATAGAGTGCGTTTTCCACGCCAGATGGCGCTTCGACAGGCGGCAGGACGAAGGAGCTGCCAGAAATGTTTTTTGATGAACTTGACAAATTGAAATGACTGAATGAAGAAGCGACTCAATTTGTTGTGTTTCCTCTCTTATATATTTTTTTTATTTTGTATTTTCATTTTAATTTGGTCGAGTGTGCCAGTGAGTGGCTAATGAGTGCACTCGAAAGTCATTCACAATGATGGTAACAAAACACAGGGGCAGCCGTAAAATTATTCAGTGCAAGCCTTTAAATAAATTCCCCAAAACAATGAATAAAATTTGGATAGATTTATAAATTAAGTTCACAGACAATGGCATTTAAGGCATTCAATATTATTATAAGAATAAAAAATGTTAAAAATATTTCTAAAATAATTATGGTTAGTATTAAACCTTAGAGAATATTTTATTTTACATTTTACGTGTCAAGCATTATTTTTGAGGCGTTTTTGAGGAACACCCTGGAGTCTGAGGGTTATACCTTAGTTATACAAGGTGACAAGTTGTCATACAAAACTATAGTATAAAGGCAAATAGAAGATATCAGAGGCTGAACCCAAAGCGTGGGTCTAGTCAAATAATGACCCAGATAAGACCAGATTGTACAACATCAAGCAGTGATCTCTTCAGAGGCAGATACAGATACAGATACAGAAACAGATACAGATATAGATACAGTTTCAGAAACAGAAACAGATACGGTATCTTGTCTGCCTCTGACACTCAGTAATGTTGTTTGGCCAACTTAAGCCGATAGATAGATAATCCAGACTGCCTTCCCCACACCTCTTCTAATGTTTGGCTATGCTTCAGTGGGTATTTTCGTTGAGTGTATCTTTTTATTTAAGCTTTAAAATTTAGAAAATAAAAAAGTAAAATAATGAATAATTTCCAAATAGAACATTATACCAAAAATAATAAAATAACTAAAGATTTATTGTAATTTTTGTATAAGCAGTAAAGATCTAGACATCATTTTTGTATTTTCAAAATAATGTAAAATTTAATTTAATTTTAATTTAATTTTTATAATGATTTAAATATCAACAAAAAAAGTTCTTAAATTACACAGCACATGCCTTTTTTTCCCGAGTATTTTATTTATTTATTTATTCTTGCGCAATTTGCGGTTATGACTGTTCTCACGATCCGAAACCAATTGGTTATGGTGCAATCGCATAGCCATAGCTTCCGACAGTTAATACTCACATTATTCAAATGCTCAGCGGATGGATGTTTGCTGCCCCCGCGGATTAACAACTCCTGATCCTCTTGGCCCATCGTCGATCTGTTCCCGATCTGTTCCCGATCTTTTCCTGGTCTTCTGGCTTTTTTCCCCTTTTCCAAAAGATTCTCCCAAGGGCACTCGAAAAAAATTACGGCAGTGTTATTTTATGTCTTGAATTGTTGGAGTAAACCGTTCGGAGCCTCGTCACGAAACCGCTGGCAAAATGCAACTGAAGGCGGACATTGACGCTGGTTAATGCGAACAACAGTGCCTAGAAAGAGACGGAACGGTGGCCCAGAGTAAGAGATGGGGAGAACCACAACACAGACTTTGAGTGAAATGACGTTTTTGAGTGAAAGGGAGAGATAATAGAAGGAATTATCAGAGGGTGGCACTCGGTGTACCCTAGAATGGGGTGATCTTGCTTCTAGAGAAAATGTATTTTAAGCTTTTTTTTAATTTTAAAAATATTTATTTAAGTTTCATTCATTTAAAAAAGTATATCTTTAACTAAGACTTATATATTTACCTTTAAAAATATTTAAAAATATAATATTTACCTTAGGTTGTAGATATTTTTTTTCGGGGTATTACCAGAGTCAAAGACTTTCTCTCTCTCCAAATGCTGATTAGGATGAGATGCTGGCTGGCACCTGCTTATCTCCCTCACATTCACCTTCTCTCTACTGTTTGTTAAACCGTCACCGTTCAGGGGTACGCACTGTACTATACAGGCATTATTTAACAAACAAACGGCAATGGTGTCGGTGATGCTTAACCCCTAGAATGCCCAATCCCCAGCCGTTCGTCGTCATCGTTAACACTGAACTCCGTAACGGACTCTGTCCGTCGCCAGCTGTCCGGACATTATCAATCTTCATCATCATCGCCATACGGAGTTTGACAGAGGCCGGGGGGAATGGATGGCCAATGGGCCTGAGGTGAGGCAAGAGACTGTCAATATCATTTTCATCATTTTCGCGGCCCATAAGGTAACAGGTTAAACAGGAGTTTCCTCAACCGGCTTTCTTTGTGAAGTATAGGTATATAATATTTTAGAAGTTTTTAAGGTGGGAAGTTTATTAATAATTAATAAATATTAATTTAACACGGCTTAATGTTTTAAAATTAATTTAAAATTTGATTTAAATATATAAAATATTTTTATTTAATTTTTTAAATCGCTTTTTATAGTCAAAATATTTTATAACATTTTTAAAGATAATTTTTTTAAGTCAAAATGATGATTTTCCATATACAAAACCAAGCGAACTTGTCTATATTGACTCGCCTGGTGATGCTTATCAAAAACATATATATGTATATATAAGCCTTATGAGAATACGTTATAAGCCCATCAAGAATTGCTGGATGACTGTAATCTTTTTGTGACTCTTTGCCCCGATTTGAGCCCGATTTAAAGAAGCTCAAAAAGTCGCACAAGGTGGGGCTCTGTGTTCGAGCCGTGAGGGATTTTCTTTGTGAGCCGATCAACATTAAGCGGAAAGCAGACAACAATGCCAGCCAGTGTCTCTCTTGTTCATTTTCGCTCACTAAATCGCACTCCAACTGGGGTTTTTCTTTCAGTGACACTTCTGGGGCTTCCCCGACCGATTCTGAGTTTGAGTGAGGCTTAAAGCGGGTTTTGCTCCTCTTAAATCTGTCTTGGCCAACGTTTACTCACTCGAATGCTATCAACTTTTTTTTATACATTTAACAATTGATTGTCACTCGGTTGTGGCTTTTGTTTTTATTTTGCAGCAGAGAAAAACAATGGGATTTAAGCCCGATTATAAAATGCTCTTAAAATATTATTTTAATGTTTGTAATTGTATTTATGGCAATGTAATTATTAGATTTTTAATTAATTTTAGCTTTTACAGCTAAAATAATAATAAAATCGCACATAATTTATTGTAAAATTCTGCATACCCTGTAAAAAAAGAGAGTAAAGTCAGTAACTCGAACTAAAAGGGTAGAAAGTTTTTGTCTTTCTTTATTTTATTTTTTTTTTTAAACAAGCTCACACACAGGTAAATCTCTGGGAAGTCAGGCGGTGAGCTAGGAAGGCTGACTTAACCCCCCGTCGTTTTCCTTAACCCATGCAAATTATTGACGCGGACAGCGGGTTCAATAAATCTATGTGTGTGTGTGTGTGTTGGTAGAGAAACTTTTCGCTAATCAGACAGCTTTCTAGTTCATTGCTTTGCCATAGCCCCCCCTGAGCCACGCCTCTGTCCGTGACACACCGCCTCTGACGCCCACTTTCATCGCAAAACCATCAGAGATGGCATAAAGCGATAGTTATTGAAAAGATATATCGATTTAAACGATAAATTTATCAAAAAACACAAATTATTACTGATAATTGAGAAATAAATTTGGTAAGAAATATTTTAAGTACTATCTTTAAACATATTTCTACCTAATATATTTAATTGTTTAATTTTAAAAGATATATTTCGATATATTGTTACTGATTAATCGATTTTTTAGATTCTCTTGCTTCATCCTTAATGGTAATTACCAAGTAAATCAGCGTTGCCATTTGCCAAGCCCAAAAAGTCTAAAGAGAAAGTGGCAAGAGGATGGAGCCTTTTTTTTTAGAAACGGGTTGGGTAATGTCCCCACCCGCCATTCGGCGGAGGATAATGTAAGGAGGCGGCGGCGACTGCCAAAGTTTTGGCAACTTTTAAAGAGAGGAATGTGTTATGGGTTCGGGTCACATAGTTAGTTAGTCCCGCAACTTCAAACCAAATGACTGCAGAAGGGGCACGGCACGGCCATGGAGTTAAACGTTTGTCAGCCATCGAGGTGGAGATTTATGTGGCGTTTTTGGTGGCTCAAAGTTTTCCAAGATTTTCCCAGGTTCCACTGGCTTTAAATTAGCCAAGATCTAAGAGCCAAGTTTGTTACCAAAATGCCCGATTTGTTGTCCAGCTCAGAAAGGTTTTCTGAAAACAAATACGGAGAGCTTTTAGCTTAGGGACTCCTCTTTGAAATCAAATATTTCTGTATCTTTAATTTGAAACTTTAAACTGTTTTGGAATGCAAAGTAAACGCTGTTTTGTCACCCTTCTAAATAAAATCCTTGCCACTTTCTGGTTCATTTTTCACGCCCTCATCTTGCCTTTTATGTATCATCAATTTGATGTTTCCGTTTCCCACGGCTGATGAATTTGTTTATGCAAAGGACACAAAGGATGCGAGGGCAGCGGCATCATTCCTGTGGAAACCAATTTCAACTTCATGGCAATCACTTCAATCTCGTCCTCGCCTAGTTGGTAGCCATGCAATAAAATCGAGTGCGACAGTCTTGCAAATTTTTGTAGATATATACAGGATATACCATGGTACGTATATGGGTATGCTCTTATAAGGGGTCCTTTAGGACTGATTGAAAGTTGGAATACCAAGATATAGCAAGTAAATGTACTCGTTATTTATATTTAAAACAAATTTTGTCAAGTTTAAAATTTACAGAATTTTTTAAACAATTTTTACATCCTATTTTTGGAAACATGTATTGTTATCTATTTATATTGTTAAATTAGACTTCCGCTTCCTATTGTAGGACATTTAAGAGATGGTCTGGGGGAGTGGGTCCTGTGGAGTGGATAGAACTTATTCACGGAGAGGCCTATGTGAAGCGGAAGTCGCCATTCGCTTACAGCACGCGCGCGTCTCATAAAAACGTATCAAAACATCCGCTGGGAGTCATAAAAATTTTGCACTCAGACTTTGCTTTTGGCCCTGGTTTCCCCCCATTTCCTTTTCCCTTTTGCCTCCTGATTTTTCCTGATGCAGTTTCTAACTTTTTTCTCTGTCAGTCGTTTGCTCTCTGTCTCTCTCACTCTCTCTCTCTCCTTTTCCACGTGGGACTACGCGGCGTATGTGTAATCTAATAAAATTTGCTGTTTATGTGGCAACAGGCTCTACTTGTTCTCCCTCTTTTGGTATCTCTCTCTCTCTTTTTGTTCTACTCTTTCTGCCTTGCTAACTAGCTTCGTTCAAGTGTTTTCCTCTTAGCCCTTTTCCCCGCTTCTTGGCCAAGTTTAGCCACGTTTTTTTCCTCTGATTCGTGCAACTGTTGCGCTGCTTTATGTCACAATGGCTGAGGATTCAGGTTTCAGGACTTTGGAATGCGAGTTAGGTCCTGCACATGCTTGTTCTGGGGATCTACTTGTTTTTCAGGTTAAATATCGCCCAAAAATATAGATTTTAATATTGAATATATCGAGAGATTGTTAAGGTATCGATTTTAAATTAATTGAAAATGGTTTAAGAGGCATGGAATTTTGTGTTTTACATGTTTGTTGTAATAAAAAATAAAAAAAAAGGAAAATTCCTAATACAAAAATATGAAAAATAATAAATAAAATATTTAAAATTTAATATATTAAATTCTGGCTTATAAAAATATATTTTCTTTACTTTAAAGATATAATTGAATGTGCTTTTTAACTTAAACTTCAATCTTAGCACCTTAACAATATTTACATATTATATTTGAATAATTATTATTATTATTATTTTTTAATATATAATTTTTAATATTTAATTTCCCCTTGTCCTTGTCATATGCTTTTCTGGCTGGTCAAAGTTGCAGATTTATTTTGGCGAAAACAGCGAGTAGAGATAGTGAATCTGGTTTTAAGCGGCTTGTGCCTTAAATACAATTATCTCTTAACAACCACACAGCTTAAAAAAAAAAAAACGAAATCGCTTATGGCCACACACTCATAAAAAAAAAGTATATAAATATGCATATTTGAGTGGGGTCGAAGCTTATCGATAAATGATTTTCAGGCCGCATTTATAGGCGGATATTGAATGGCTGACTAAATCCTGCGAAATGATGATAAATCTCACTTTTAGGGAATTATTTTTTATTTTGGCGGAAAATACAGATTTTCCCCCATATTAAATTTCAAAGATGGCTATTATTTTGTATATATATTCCTTGTGTTTCCACTTGGATCAATCATTAATCATTGACAAATCGGAAGACAAAACAGCAGCCAGTGACACTTGCCGCCTGTTGCAATTTAATTAGATTAAAAATGCATATAATTTATCAAAATGCAAAGGAAAATGTGAAAATATGAGAAATGGTAAATGGTAAATGCCACATGTCACAAGACATAGGCCAGAGTAAAAGTCAAATCCGAGGCTGTCACAGACACGGGACATACAATATGGCAAAAATAATTTAATTG